CTACCTACTCAGGACTTCTGTGAGGATCAAATGAGATGAGGCATGGGAAAATGCTTCACAGATATTTGGTTAAAGTGTGAAATGTTTGCACCTGGCTACAAAGCGAGTTGTGTTCCTGGGCTGAAGAAACTGCAAGGAGACTAGTCACTAGGCAGAAAAAGCCAGGCGTTGCTACGAGATGTCATTACCCAGCGCCCACAGCCACTGTTTCCGGGCTATGGACCGCATTGTGTGCCATGGGGTCCCAGGAGCATCAGCTGCGATTTGGTGGGGTGTTGCTCTGTGGTAGTGGCAGGGCCTGTGTCCCACTTGAGGGAAGCTAAGTGTTGCTTTGTCAGCACCAGGTCCATGCTGCCGTTTCTCTGTAAATGGCCAACGTGTGTCATGGCAGCTCCTGTATTGAGCATCTGCCCCATGGTGGTCAGTGCACATCATAGCAACTGGTCAGACGGGTGGAGGGACACTAACATATTAGCTTTTTATATATATAGATAACTTAATATTTAACATGCTTTTGCACTAGTTAAGATGAGGTTAAGGTTTGACATTTGATGGCATCAACATTTCTACAATCTGACCTATCACTGAGGAGCACAGAAATTTGGTAATACTGCCTATATAAAGAATCATATTATGTTCATATTTTTTAACCAAAGAATTACACATACTAAACTTTTTTTCCAGTGGGGAAAAATGGTCTATAAATAAAAGTAATCACATAGAATTATGTTGGGAAAAGAAAATCCAAATGGCTTTAAATCAGGGAAGATTAATTGATTAAATAAACTTATATACAAGGAAATATTAGACAAGCCCTTGAAATACCAACTATGAAACTACAAAGCAACATGAAAACTAGCTATGGTAATTTACAAAGTAGAGTATATTTTTTGTAAATGATGACTGTAATTATGCATAAAATTGTCTAGGTATTTGAAATCAGTATACTGAAATAATATACTATGTTGAAGTAATTGTTAAATTTTCCCTTTATTTTTCCTTCTTATGTGATGTGATATTGTTTACAAAATTTACAAGATTCTTCAGCAAACCTCATCTCGTTTTGTCTTTTAGCCTTCCTGATATTAATTTTACAGTGCAGAATACCATGTGTCTTAATAATTGCTTATATTATATTCCTTGCTTCTTATGTGCTAGAGAAATACATTTGTGAGTTTAAGTTGCATTTGTCCTGTCTGTAACAGCTTTGCTTATTGCATTATTATATCATTTCATTATACTGTTTTCTCTACCATATTTATTGAAGTAGTCAGTTATTTTGGTATTTTAATGTGGATATGTATGTAATAGGTCCTGCATTATGGTAATTAAGTTCCAGTTAAATTTTGTCATTATGTAATGTAATATACAATCCCAGAAAGACTTCAAAGAAATGATTACAAAAGAATGTTTAGCTTCTAACAAATATATATCAAATTAAATTTTTAAAAACAATTTGCTTAAAGAAAAGCAAGCATCTAAAAGAGAAATTTTTCTAATTTGCTTTTTTAAACAAGACCCTGGGTTTTTTCTCTTATGGCCCCAAAATATCTTTTCTTTCTGCAGTAGAGAATTAATATCTCTTTTTTATTTATTTAAAATCTGTTGACTTGAGGGAGTTAGAATTTTGTATTTTCAAGTTTAAATTAATTTTAACTAATTGCAATGTGAAGAATTTGCTAGTATGAAATTAAAAGGTTCAGCAGAATTTTTCTGGCTTCTCAACAATAAGTCAAATTGGGAAAATACTGGCTGCTATCTAATGCAAAATCTTAATTCCATGAAGAATATTTCATTCCGCCCGGCCCGGATGGCTCAGTGGTTGAGTGTCAACCCATGAACCAAAGAGGTCTCTGGATTCCTGGTCAGAGCACATGCCCAGGTTGCGGGTTTGATCCCCAGTAGGGGGTGTGCTGGAGACAGCCAATCGATGTTTCTCTCCCTCTTCCTTTCTCTTTCTCTAAAAACAATAAGAACCTTTTAAAAAAAGATTTCATTCCCAGTCACCCAAAATAGTGATGACCTTTATCAGAGAAAAACTGGAGATCTGACAACTACAATAAAATAATCCAGATTACAAAACCCATACCAGTTAAGAGTGCTTTGGGTCAGTCCTTTCTGGTGACCAACTGATTGAATATAAAGAACACTGAAATGTTTTGTATGTTGAATGTGTATTTCTACACATCTACTTCTAGGCATCAAATATGAAATCTATCTAAATACTTATCCATATGGAACTATGGTTCTAAAAGGTTCTACTAGATAGCAGCACAAATTTCATTTGTCAAATCAGAGGACCATGCCCACTGTTCTAGTTTGGGACTATATTCTTCCCACAGGAAAGGGCTGCAAGTATCAAAACATACACATGCAGACTCACTCAATATAATGTAATATATGCTCTTAGTTACAAACTATTTCATTTCCTCCCTACCTATTAAACAGTTTTTACCCTTTCCACAAGAAAAATTACCCAAGCAATCTTCCAATCTCAGCATTGGTCTGAAAGTAAAATATCTAATGATAGATAATATCTATATCAGATCTCAAAATGAATTCTTTTGCTCCAGAAATCTATATACTCAAAAGACAAGTAATGCACTCCCCCACACACAAACACACCCAATATACTATAGTAAAACAAGGCAAGGAAAATTGCAATAAACACACCTATGTAGAAGAGAGAAATGATCAGAATAAAAATGGCAAATGAACTAGAAAAAAAAATCCCAAAACTTATATGGAAGCACGAAAAACCCAAGTAGCCACAGCAATTTTGAAAGAGAACAAAGTTGGAGGTATCACACTACCTGATATCAAACTATATTACAAGGCCATAGGAATCCAAACATAATGGCACTGGTATCAAAACAGACATATAGATCAATGCAACAGAATAGAGAGCCCAAAAATAAACCCACGCCTATATGGTCAATTAATCTATGACGAAGGAAGCAAGAATATACAATAGGGTAAAGACAGTCTCTTCAATAAATGGTGCTGGGAAAACAGGACAGATACCACAGCTATTTTTAAAAATTACATGATTAGACTGCTGACTCAGCTCTTTGGGAACTAATGCTTCATTAGCCCTTGAACCCTACCGAATTTTATCATTTCCTTGCCAATGGCTCAGTCCCAAGCAATTTTTAAAGACTATATTGGCAAACACAGAGAATTAGTTATCACCATGTCCAACAAATACTTGCATATTAAAGCCATTCTCAGGAATAAATAGCCATGACAACATAAAAACCTAGAACCATTCTCTTGAGCCTTCCTACCATCTTCCTATTCTGACTTACTGGTCTACAGTCACACCCAGTGTACATGCACACAATTAAAAAGTACATATACACCTTCATAAAAAGAACCACATTAAGGATCAAATGCCCACCCAAAAGTAGGGGCCAGGAAGAGCAGGTTACAATGTAGGAACCTCGCTAGGCAAATCTTTCTGCTTTCATATAATCTTACTAGGGAAGAAAATGTAGTTTGCTTGACTGGAATACTTTTGGTTAAAAATTAACCCTCCAAATGTAAAATGTGTTCTGTTATTTAATTACCCCTTGGAATAGTAATTCAGTTTAATTTTTTAAAGTTCCAACTGTTGCCGAAACCGGTTTGGCTCAGTGGATGGAGCGTCGGCCTGCGGACTGAAGGGTCCTGAGTTCGATTCCGGTCAAGGGCATGTACCTGGGTTGCGGGCACATCCCCAGTGGGAGATGTGCAGGAGGCAGCTGATCGATGTTTCTCTCTCATCGATGTTTCTGGCTCTCTATCTCTCTCCCTTCCTCTCTGTAAAAAATCAATAAAATATATTTAAAAAAAAAAAAAAGTTCCAACTGTTTGGCATTGTCTTGAAATAGTCTTTCTAACCAGGAAACTAATGGCTTTGTTTGTTTTGCCTCAGGAGCAGGTGCAGGAACAAGAATACCACCTGAAGTAACTGCTGCCATGCGGTGACGGTCTCACAATCACACTGACAGATGGGACTGTGTTTTATTCAAAACAAATATTTCTTTGCTGTTTGTAATTGTAGCTGAAATCACCTACCTGTTGCAGGTGTGCTTTAAGGACATCACCCTGAGGCCTCTTAAATATTCTATAAGCCATTAACGAGTTGACCTTACACAACACTACAACAGGGCTTCGTTCTTTTAAACACCAGAGAGCACTGGAGAGAATATATATCCTAATATGTGACATAACATATAATCATTACAAATATAACATTTCTCTGCTATATAGGCTGAAAGCTTAAAACTTAAAACACCAAGCCTCAGGGATACTGTGCCCATATATAAACACACACACACACACACACACACACACACGTGTGCACGTGTACCCATGCTGAAGCATATTTGAATTGTTGAAATCAAAACCAAATGAAGACCAACCGTTTTGGTTCCCCGAGCAGACGGAACCAGTGTAGTCATACAGACACAGTGTAATTTAGCTTATTTTTCGAGACCAACTTAACCTTGGTCATTTCTTGCTTACACCTCTGGACATCCTAGGCAGAACTTGAACTGTTTCCCAAGGTCAATAGGAGGTAACCACTGAAAATTCCCACACTGTAACCAATCACAGAAGAACAAATAGTCCCTGCTCTGGGCTCTATCGGCAGCTTGATAACAATACATCCCTGTTTGGGTTTGAATGCTCCCAGTTTGCCAACTTTTTGGTGTGTACACAATAAACTTGAATAATTCCTACCACAGTGATTCACTGCTTTTACTTGGGCTATTTATAAAGCTTTGAGAAAAGCTCTAGTGCATGCATAAAAATACACTTTTAGCAACACAAAGATGAGCACTTTATCTAGATAATATTTTTCTCCTTGCAGTTACATTTTTATATTGATTTTGGTGTTTAAAATGTAAATTTTTTAGCCCAATTAAAGCCCTCTGTTAGTAGAGGAGAAAAATGCTTTCTATATACTATGAAGAGCTACTTTGACGCTATCTAGTGTATGTTGTTGTAGAAGGTACCTTATTTTCTTTTTGGTTGAGTCTCTGTTTTAGTTCTTCCACTCCAAATCGCAGTTTCTTTACCTCAGCCGCACTCTGATTGGCTCGGTGGTTGGCAAGCGTCAGCTCTGCTGTTTTCGCCTGGTGTTGGCTGCTGAGTCTACAGTAGGCGTGTTGAAGGTCCAGCAGCTCCTATCAAGAGACAGCAGGCATCCCATTGTTTAGAATTCACTCCCATAAAGTCAGAAGAATAGTAACTTCTTTGGACAAAGGAGAAAAGCATTTCAGGAAGAATTCAGATGATGCATCTCTTCATCTGTAACTCTATATTTCTCAATGAAATGTGATGATTAGCATAACCATAAGCGGAAAATGTATTTGCAGGTGGCTGAAGTGGCTAAGAGAATGCAGCTCTTTTTTAAAACCATTTTAATATATTTTTAATTGATTTTTAGAGAGAGAGGGAGAAAAAGATAGAAACATGGATGAGAATTGATCGACTGCCTCCTGCACACCCCCTACTGGGGATGGAGCCCACAACCCAGGCATGTGCCCTGACCGGGAATTCAACCAGTGATCTCTTGGTGCATGGGGTCCATGCTCAATCATTGAGCCACAATGGTTGGGTGAGAACGCAGCTCTTCATGTTCTTGAGTCAATGACTGGTTTCCCAGGTTATGCAAATTTAGGTTTTATGTATGATTTCCAAAGGAAGAAATCACATATCTATAAAGGCAGAATAAAATAGAATAAAAATAAGTGCAAGAAGAGTTGTTCATCTGCTAAGTCAGCATATGTATTCAAAATTAGCAGACTATCTGCTTTTCATTAGTTCCCTAAGAAGTAGGATTTGTGCTGCTGCTGTCAATCTATTCCAGGCGCCACTCTGAAATGACCTGAGTGTGTCTCAGAGACCTAAGTAAGAGGTTGTCCTGTGAAAACCAGTGAATTTATCAGGAAGTGATTGGGTCTTCAAAGTGTCTTGTTATATTCAACACCCCACAAGATATTAATCAACAGGTTACATTAATTGCCATCAGATTACTAATGTTGCCTCTCATTTTTAAAAATTTCTATGCAAATTAATTGTACTATCATTGTAGAAAATATCTTTATTAAAACTATAAAAAATAACCTCTAGTTCCTCATAACATTATAAAACTTAAAGAAAATCCAAGGTTATTTCTCTAATTTCCTAAAAAATGCAAATCAAACCACAAGGAGATATCACCTCACAACTGTTAGAATGACTATTATGGAAAAGACCAGAAATAACAAGCATTGGCAAGGTGTGGAGAAAAGGGAACCCTTGTGCAACGTTGGTGGGAATGTAATTGGTGCAGCCACTGTGGAAGACAGTGTGGATGTTCCTCAAAAAATTAAAAATATAACAACCTTATGACCCAGCAATCCCACTTCTGGAAATGTATCATAAGGAAATGAAAACACTATCTCAAAAATATATTCTGCACCCCAAGTCACTACAGCATTATTTACAATAACCAAGACATGGAAATAACCCGAGTCTTCACTAGTGGATGGTGAATAAAGAAAATTTGGTGCACATAATGGAATATTATTTAGCCATAAGAAAGGAAATCCTCTGATTTACAACAACATGGGTAGATTTTGATAGCTTTGTACTAAGTGAGATTAGGTGACAAAGAGGAAGATGAATACTGTTGATCTCATATGTGGAATCTAAAAATAAAAAACACCTCATAAATACAAAGAACAGATTAGTGGTTGTGGTGGGGGAAAGTGAAGTAAAATGGGTGAACATGGTCAAAGGTACAACTTCCAGTTATAAAATAAGTCCTGAGGCTATAAAGTACAGCATGATGACTAAAATTAATAAATCTCTACTGTATGTTGAAAGTTGCCAAGACAGATCTTAAAATGTTTCATCACAAGAAAATAAAATTTTAACCATATGGTGATGGATGTTAATTAGAATTATTGTAGTGATCATCTTGAAATATATATAAACTAGAGGCCTGGTGCATGAGATTCATGCACGTGGGGTGAGGGGCGGTCTCTCAGCCTGGCCCACACCCTCTCACAGTCCAGGAGCACTCAGGGGATGTCTGACTGATAGCTTAGGCCTGCGCCCCAGGGAAAGGACCTAAGCTGTCAGTCTCAGTCGGACATCCTTAGCACTGCTGCAGAGGCGGGAGAGGCTTCTGGCTGAGTGGCACTCCCCATGTGGGAACGCACTGACCACCAGGGGGCAGCTCCTGCGTTGAGTGTCTGCCCTTTGGTGGTCAATGCGCATCACAGCAACCAGTCATTCCGCCGTTCAGTCTATTTGCATATTACCCTTTTATTATATAGGATATTGAATCATTATGTTGTACACTTTAATATATGTCAACTATATCGCAATTCTAAATAAGACTAAGCATAGAAGATTGACTGATGGGTCAACAGTGAAATGAAATTAGACCAGTTAGAAGACTATTGCAATAAGTCAGGTCAAAGACAAGGATCTAAGAAACTAGCAGCAGGGATGAGGAGAGAGATAGTCAAAGATCTGAGGGGATAAAAACCCACAGAATTTCCTCATTCATAGGATGAGAATGGTGAGGAAAAAATGTTGTAGTTAAGAGTAATTCCTTTCTTTCTGCTTCAGCTCTGATGGGGTGGTGGTGCCCTTCACCAAATGAGGACATACAGAAAGAAGAGCAGGTTGGAAGAGAGGAGATACATCTCAATTTTGGAAAAGTTGAGATGTATATACCTGGGACACCAGGGACATGTCCAGTAAGGAGCTGAATATACTAGTCTGTACTGGGAGTTGGAGGTGGAGGGCAGTAGGGGGGTAAGAAAGATGTAAGGACTCAGTTTAGAAGTGAACTTTGTAGTTTGCAGTGTGAAAGTAGGTAAAATTTCACTGAGAAGTAAAAAAACAATTGAAGTCATAATCCCAAGATTAACAAACCTTAAAGGAATCGGAAGAGAGAAAAGAATCCACAGAAGAGATAAACCAAATAACTTATATGCATAGCCCATGGACACGGACAATAGGGTGATAAAGACTTGGGGAGTGGGTAGAGCCTGGAAGAAGGGGGATAAAAGGGGAGAAGTGGGAAACATCTGTAATACTATCAACAATAAAAATATATATATTAATAAATAAGATAAAGGGAGGGCTGTTCCAGAGACAAGAAAAAAATCAGGAGTATTACAATGAAATATAACAAGAAATTCAAGAAAATGGAAGATCAGAAATTCAAGAAAGAGGAAACTATTGACAGTATGGAATGTTTAAGGGAAATAAAAAGAATAAAAATATATCTATTAAATTTAATCCTTAAATCATTGTCCTCAGCAATACATTCCAGTGGTTGAGCAGTTTCTGTAGCAAGCTTATTTCAATATATTTTAATAGTAGAAAACAACAAACAGTGATGTGAAATGTTTGTGCTTTATTTTAGTGGAGAAAAATCTGAATAAAAGTTAAGCATAAAAAATATACACTCCTTCAAATTATTTGTCAGTGTGTAAGTCTCTGTAAATCTAAAGATCTAAAGCTATACAGCTGGACAGTAAATATACTTCACAAGCCTTCATAAGTGTACGTGGATATTAATAGTGGAGCTTCATATAACAATAATCATATGCAATGTGTTTGAATACAGATATTTTTGATAGGATAATATTCGTTTCTCAAATAGATTGACTCCCCAGTGATGTAAAGGATTGGAGACAGGCTTTCAATTTCATATGTGGCTTATGAATTCATGCATTAGTTTGTGCTCTTGTATGTAAGGATATCGCTTTCCATCTAGAATTAATTTTGTAGCTGATACATCAAGTACTGAGGCTTAAATGATTTTGATTTTGGCAAGCTGACAGAACTAAAACACCATTTTCTTATAACTGAAAGTGACATGAGAGGCTGTTAAAAATAAATCAAGTTTATATGCATCTATTTGAAAAAAACCAAAATGGCATTCAGAGAATTTTAAAGTATTATATGTTATTTCTATAAATTCAGTTTTTTTCCAATTATAATTCAGGTACTAGTTTAAATATGATTCCTTTTGAGATGCTTTCTTGATTGCTCAAATGTAAACAATGATTCACAGTGTTATTTTAAAATTACCTTTCATATGATCTGTTCATTTCTACCTACATATACATTTATTTAAGACTAGAGGCCCTGCATGCGATTGAAATCGCGCGAGGAGGCGCCCCGCCTCCCACTGTGCGAGGAGGCGCCCCGAAGGGGTGGGGACCGCGCCTGACTCGCACAGCACGGCACAGCACCGGCCACCACGGGAGTCAGGCTGGATCGGCGCCTTGGAGGCCGAACTGGCGCCGCAGGGGGCCAGGACCCATACTGTGACTCGCAGCGTCTCCGTGCTCCCCCGTGCCGTGTGTCTGCTCCGGGGTCTGCTCAAGCCATCACACTGGTCTCAGGCAGCTCTCTCTGCCTCTG